TATTGTTAGTCTAATTAGAACAGGTGTTACTGAATATTCATGATTATGCATGAGCTTGTTGCCTAGCAACCACGTCATTTCCGGTTTTCAGATTAGGTGCTTTTTAGAGTATGGTCTATCTAATTTTACAAAACCGGAAATGACGTCGGTTGCTAGGCAACATGCTCATGCATAATCATGAATATTCAGTAACACCTGTGCTCATTAGACTAACAATAAAAACTTTTAGCTCAGTTTTGACAAAATCGACCAAAAAGATTTTATTGTTAGTCTAATTAGAACAGGTGTTACTGAATATTCATGATTATGCATGAGCTTGCTGCCTGGCAACCACGTCATTTCCGGTTTTATGATTTTTGTTGAGGGCGTCCACGAAATGATTTAATTGCTAGTTTGATAGACAAATGGACGAAGTAGCTAATAGTGATGAAGTAATTCTTCACTTTTGGTTTACACATATAAGGATATTTTAGCTATTGAATTTATTACAGTAAACACAGACATTGAATAAGATGAGAAGAAATGTCTAATTCCATTTGATATTTATTTTCAAAACATATTGGAATATATGTAGTACATTTTGTTATATACTGTATATATTGTACATTCGGCAAAAATCAAGACCTAATTTTAATCCTCAAAATTATATGTATTATTATCTTACATTTCTATATTCTTTACAACAAACTGGTTATTTTCTCTGTTATTAAGATAAACTTTAGTAATAATATTACAATATTAATAAACATAAAGCATACAAGAATTAATATATATTCTTAACATTATTAGCAAGATTTTTTGCAGAGGAAAATATTTAAAAACTAAAATTCACACTATATTTCAATTAATTTCTAATCCAGAATTTTTGCAGGAAGCTTGATGAGTGACAATTTTTTGTTGTTGAGTTCTGCCTTTCACGATCAAGTCCGGACATTCTTTCCTGATATTTGTGGATTATTTATCTACCTCCTGGAATAGAAAAAATATTGAGAAAAAAATTAGAAAGGGAGAAAGAATTATTACGGAGTATTAAAAACATAAGAATTATAGTCAGCACCCCAACCTCAACATTATCCTATTGAGTTATCGCAATGTATGGACAATGCTTTTATACCACGGAATGAATGAGGATTATTAAATGCATGGTATTGCAATAGTGTTTACAAATTATGTTAGCTGTCAATTGTCATGGGTAAATTAAATCTATAAAAGTGTACCACACGATAGAAATGAATATATAGATTCATAAATACAGTATATTCAAACAATAAACATAATACTATTAACTATATCTTTTAATAAAAATATTTTTCATGATATAATATTTATTGACTGATTTATTGAATTTATTCAATGCTCAACATGCACAAGCAAGATAAAAAATGAATTGTGTTCAAGAAAATTAAATAATAATGAGCACAAAGAACGTCCATTAGGCCGGAGTCCAGCCCATTTAAAATTGGGATTTAAAGATATAATGTCTGACATAAGCTGAAAGATGAAAAATATAATTCCATAATTAGATAATTATACTTAAGTACGCCTAGGTTCTTAACTTTCAATTAAATATCTGAATGACAAAATCGTTTTCCTGACAATTAACAGACAGTTAAATATTATATCAGAGTTATATTCTTATATATCATTGATATTTAAACTGGTAGTGTCAATTTAAGAATTTCTGTAGTAAAATGTCCATTAATCAGGATTTACGATTCTAATCGGGGTCTGAAACAAGGGCTGCCTAGAGCCTCAGTCAGGGTACCAGATTAAAATCCCTAGGGTGGGGTGCATGGGGAGGAATTTAACGGTTTAGGATCACCTATACGCTTTTTTTACCGCAATTGGACTGGCTATCAAATGAATTTGTTTGAATTGGACAATATTTTTTTGTTTTGTCCGTGGAGTCGGATGGGGGCCGATGTAAGTTTCTGAATTATGGTAACTCGGGCTACATGAGCAAGGGTAGTTGCTTTTGAATTTCAAAAATAATAATGTTTATCTATTAAAGCAACTATATGTGCTACTGGGGCCCAGCATACCACCTTATGCAGAGTATCCGTGCATATATGGCCAAA